CAGTGTAACTTCTGAGACATGTTCCTTTACTTGACATCAACAAAGCAGACAGTGAAAGTACACATTTACTAGATGGCACACACTTGGAGGTGCCTTCTGATTTATGCTGTATTTGAGAGAAAAACCTCTTTTTGTTGTTGGATAAAGGATTGTGAGAGCTGCTACTGGACAGCTCAACTCAGTTGTCAATTCCCATTTGGATTTGCACATAGTGAGAATATTCTTGTGAACTATTACTGGAAAAATAAAACAATTTGTCACCCATACACGGAGTTTGCTGACATGTGTAGTCGACTCTCTTTAGCTTTCTACTTCAACTTTTTTCTTTAATTATTTAGATTTTCTGTTTTCAGGGTTCCACTGTAAGGACATAATTAGGCTTATGTATTTATATGCTGAGTACAAAAATTATAGGGCATGAACATAAGCCTCCCAACATCACAACACTTAAATTCCTAGCCTCTCTTGTGATAAGGTGTATGGATTTTACAGTTTTAATGTATTTGTAGATTACATATCACAAAGAAATCCGTATATTGCTAAGGAAGCTCTCCATTGCCTCCCTTCGCAGTTACTGACTTAGATAAAAGGTAAACAAATAGTTGCTAGAACATGCATTGTAGATGAACTATGGATTTCAGAGTGTTTAAAAAGATTTCTTAAAAAAGCCCAATGGCATTTCTGCTGTGTTTCTAGCATGTGCTTCTGTTTCTTATTTTTTAGATTATATATTTATGTATCCATCCTTAAGACTTATGTGCGGAACTTCTTAATTTGTTGTGGTTCAACAGGTTTTGATGAAAACTTTTATGTTTATGCACTTGCTCACATTTGTGCAACACATCTTTATGTTCTAAAATACTTAATTATTTTGATTTCAAGAATTGGCCTGTCTCAGAAGCCAAAAGTCAATTAGTGCTGCATTATTGGCTGGTTCAGTAGTATCTTAAGTCTGGTACCATTCAAAATCCATGAAATATACGCTTTATTTTGCTAGCTCCATGATTTAATATTAATGATCACCTCTATTACATGTTGAGCAGAGAGAAATAAAAAAAATCTTGATAATTTCAACAAAATTTTGTGGTGTTTTTTTTTCTAGGCTACTCTCACTTTTTTCCTGACTGAATGGAGAACAAAACTTTATTATTATTATTATTATTATTCTCAATGTTCTGAGGAGTAGTAGTATGTATATATATCTAATAAGTAAATTGTTTGAGGAAAAGGAAAAAATACTGATTTTTCCTGATGGAGCTGGGAGAATGACCTTGTGAAACTTGCTTCTGTCCAATACCTTAATATTCTTTTAGGTATTAATTCCTAAGTTAGGTATAAAGTTGTAAGAGGAATTGTGAAATACCCTGTTTAAATGTAAGTCTGATTACCTGTTTTTAAGCAAGAATTTTTTCACACTATTGGATGCTATTCAAGAACATCTTAAGAACCCAGACATGCACAAGTCCATGGGACCTGATGAAATCCATCTGTGGGTCCTTGATAGAGCTGGCAAATGAAGTTTCTAAGCCACTGCCCATCATATTTGAAAAATCATTGCAGTCAGGTGAAGTTCCCGACGACTGGAAAAAGGGAAATATAACCCCCATTTTCAAGAAGGGGAAAATGGATGACCCGGGGAACTACAGACCAGTCAGTCTCACCTCTGTGCCTGGCAAAATCTTGGAGCAGATTCTCCTGGAAGGCATGCAAAGGCGCATGAAAAAGCAACAAGGTGCTTGGTGACAGCCAGCATGGCTTCACTAAGGGGAAATCCTGCCTGACCAATTTGGTGGCCTTCTATGATGGGGCTACAGAACTGATGGACAGGGGTAGAGCAGTTGATGTCACCTACCTGGACTTGTGTAAAGCGTTCCACACTGTCCCACACGACATCCTTGTCTCTAAATTGGAGAGACCTCAATTTGATGAATGGACCATTCGGCGGATAAAGGACTGGGTGGCTGGCCGCACACAAAGAGTTGTGTTCAATGGCTCTATGTCCAGCTGGAGACCAGTAATGAGTGATGTCCCTCAGGGGTCGGTGTTGGGACCAGTCTTGTTTAACATCTTTGTCGCTGACATGGACAGTGGGATTGAGTGTGTCCTCAGCAAGTTTGCCGATGACACCAAGCTGTGTGGCTCAGTTGATACGCTGGAGGGAAGGAATGCCATCCAGAGGGACCTTGACATGCTTGTGAGGTGTGGGCTGATGCCAACCTCATGAGGCTTAACCATGCCAAGTGCAAGGACCTACACCTGGGTGGGAGCAATCCCAGGCACAGCTCCAGGTTGGGCAGAGAAGAGATTCAGAGCAGCCCTGCGGAGAAGTACTTGGGGGTGTTGGTCGATGAGAAAATGAACATGAGCTGGTTTCAGTGTGCTCTCACAGCCCAGAAAGCCAACTGAATCCTGGGCTGCATCAGAAGGAATGTGACCAGCAGGTGGAAGGAGGTGATCCTGCCCCTCTACTTTGCTCTCCTGAGACCTCACTTGGAGTATTGTGTACAGTTCTGGTGTCCTCAACATAAGAAGGACATGGAACTGTTGGAACAAGTCCAGAGGAGGGCCAGGAGGATGATCAGGGGTCTGGAGCACCTCCCATATGAAGATAGGCTGAGAAAGTTGGGTCTGTTCAGCCTGGAGAAGAGAAGGCTGTGTGGAGACCTCATAGCAGCCTTCCAGTATCTGAAGGGGGCTACAAGGATGCTGGAGAAGGACTCTTCATTAGGACTGTAGCGACAGAACAAGGGGTAATGGGTTAAAACTTAAACAGGGGAAGTTTAGATTCGATATAAGAAGGAAATTCTTTCCTGTTAGGGTGGTGAGGCACTGGAATAGGTTGCCCAGGGAGGTTGTGAATGCTCCATGCCTGGTGGTGTTCGAGGCCAGGTTGGACAGAGCCTTGTGTGATATGGTTTAGTGTGAGGTGTCCCTGCCCATGGCAGGGGGTTGTAACTAGGTGATCCTAAGGTCCTAATTATTCTATGATTCTGTGATGAGTACAGAATAACTGCCTAGTTGATACTGAGCTAATGTTCAAACTATATGCATTTTAGTGTTTTACTTTAGGACCAAGTTGAAGGCAGTCTGTAGATTAAAGCTTAATACTGGAGCTGATTTTCAACCTAGTCTTATCTGAAAGACATTATGTTTGTGTGCTCTGTGTTCAAAACCAAAGCATGGTTACTGGAAAAGATTGCTTATTTTACTTCAAGATTTCTTATTTGTGTTAAAGTGCAAACAGTATGTTTTCTTCAGTAGGGCGTCATCAGGTGGTTTCACTGCTAGACAAGTATTGCAAAGTGGCGTGGTAGCATAAAATGTTAACTCTACTTGATTTTATTTTCTAATACTGCTACTGTAAACCCAATAAAATAGACTGAAAATTTTATCCTTTTCTGATTCTATATCAAACCAACTCTAGATTAGACTGCCTTCAGTATCAGATTAAGTAAGGTAAGGTGTTCAATTTTCCACTGAAATAGATGCCAAGTGTCACCATTATACTCATCACTGAGTCTCTTGTGGGTTAATCAGCAGCAAACACTTGTGAACGTTACAGTGTCAGAGCTTTTTTAACATTGATAGACTAGCTATGGGTTGAGAAGTATTCTACAAAACCTTAGGCATCACTATGGGTTGGAGTGGGATATTTCCAATACGAAGGCAAACTGTTAAGTCCACTTTAAGAAACCTGTTACTTTGTAGGAGTAGTGCCAATATTATTGCTTCTTTTCTTGCACTGAAAAGTATTGATAGCTGGAAACCATAACACCTGTGTTTTATTTTTTAAAAGCCCAAAACCTGGTTAAAGATTTCAGGAATTGTCAAGACATTAGTGGCTTGAACCTTGCCTTGAAAATCAAAAATGCAGGTACGGGGAAGAACGTGTTACAGAATTCATCGAGCTGGTGAGAAAATGGGGAGGGGAAAAATGAGGGAAGAAGCTCATGGAAGAATTTGAGAATAATATTTCTCATGTGGAAACAGAGCAGGTTGGAAAAAAAAAACCACTGCTTCTGCCATGGAAGAAGGAAAGAGCAAGGAACATTTAATACCTGTTTAGGGAGAAAAGAACAAGAATGGAAAATAGTAAGCATCTGGGATTGTATGTGATGCCAAACCAAAAAATGTTTGAAGATTTATGTGATACAGTTGGAAGGATGAGTAGTACACTGGAGACTTGAGAGATGGAGGAATTTAATTTACTGAATGCATTCAGTGTTCCTTGACTAAATAAGTGATAACATTTGGAGTCTTCTTGCTTGAATATAGTAAATAATGTGCTAAGAATGTCTGGGGTGGGAATTCGGTGACCTATGCTATATGGGAATTGAATCTTCTCTTGAAAATGCTTGATCAGTAAACCATTGAAAAAGCCAAGTTTTTTGCATATGATCTACAGAAGGTATTGGTTTCCTGGTAGCGTTCTGGTTTACCTAATTATCTGTATACGGTTAATATATACAAGAGTACAGTGGGGTACGAATACTGGCATATATTAATGTATGCTATATGAAGTGTTTCATAGGTGAGATTTTTCAAAACTGTTATTTTCCTGCAAGTTTATTGTAAGCTCTTATTGAAATAAGCTTTTAAATATTTGCACCAGAAAATGAGATTTGCCTTGTTTTGGTACATTCTGAGTTATACAAAATTTGTGAACTACTTTTATTACTTTGTAACAACCGGGTCATAAACTTGGATTAGTTTTATAGGATTTGGTATATGAGTTGACAGATGTGATATATGATGACACTTTATCTTTTATTGCTTGCACATACTAGTTATTGGGAAAGGATGGGGGCAGTTCATATTAACCACAAGATGGGATTTCAGTTGCTTACCCAAGTGTCTCTCATTCATTCAATCAGTTATAGCAGATATATTGCTTCTTCAAGCCTGTCACACCAATAAATCATTTCAGATTGTATGCATTTGTACAGTGCCAAAGTGTACCATGAATTTTAAAGGAAATCTCCTATTTTCTTTTCAATCAGATGAGCAGCGTGAAGAGACTACAGCCACGGCTCAGTGCTATTCTGTTTAAGCTTCAGTTTGAGGAGCAGGTGAACAACATCAAACCTGACATTATGGCTGTCAGTGCTGCCTGTGAAGAGATAAAGAAGAGTAAAAGCTTTAGCAAGCTGCTGGAACTAGTATTGTTAATGGGAAACTACATGAATGCAGGTTCTCGGAATGCACAGACCTTTGGATATAATCTCAGCTCCCTATGTAAAGTGAGTTTTGAACTATCTGTGTTGAGTAACACATTTACCTTTTCATTTGTTTTTATTATGCTACTTAAATACTTTGTTTTGATGTTTTTTTCTGCAGTTAATCGGTTAATTCTTTGGTTTCTTTTTTCTTTTTTTTTTTTAATAATTCTTAACATTAGTTGATGGTTTGAGCAATACAGCTAAGCTGTGTACAGTCATCTTGAGACTGGCTTGCCTTTAAACTTTTACAAGATTTCAAGTGAATGCTAAACAAACCAAACCAAACTAAATAAGGTTATGCAAAAAACATATTACTGTGATCATAGTGATGTTGTAGTCTTAAATGTATGAGCCCTTCTAAGACTGTCACATTTTAATCTGTTTTAAAACAGTTATGTTTTCTCTTTTACATATATTTTCTCTTTATTTGATTCTCTTTTATTGTTGCCCAGTTTCATTAGTTGCCTGTTTCTTCTAATTTTCCTTACATTTTCACTCTTTCAACTTTTATATAAGGTGTATACAAGAAGACATCTACGCTTTTCTGAGTGTTAACTTATAGTCGATTCTAATCCTTATTGCCTTCCCCTTATTTAGTGTTATTTTTTTTTCCTGTGCCCTCTGGAAGGTCACTGCAAAATCTGCAGAGGGCGCATATGTATGTAATAGTCCTTTTGAGAAAGGAATTATTGGGGAGTTTGTATGCACTCTTTGTCTTCTGTCAGCTTCTTTATTTTTTATACAAGAGAAAATACAATATGTTAACTTCTACGTTCTTTAAAGTAATCACCCTTACTCTGCCATGTTTCAGGAATAATTCTTTCACTATGCTTCTCAACTGTTGAATGTGATACTGTAACTTAAATGAGAACTTAAATTCTCATAGAGAATAAGCTGTATACCTTTCTGAGTCTGAAGTAAACATTTAAGCTTGTATCAACCACATAGAGAAATACAGTGTAGATGAAATTAAGTTTGAAGTACAATTTGTTGAGAAACGTATGCAGAAGGAAAGGTATTAAAGGTTCTCTCTACAGGTGGGTGCATTTACTTTTTAGGTGTGATTTTACAAGTATCTGTTCTAGCTCTCCTTATATTTTCCGTATTTTTAATACATACGGCAACAAAGAAAGGAAATATGAGAACAATATGAGTTGTTACGGGCACTTTGCAGAGCGGGATCAAATTTCAAAATATGTTGGAGAAATAATTTAACATCTAGAATATGATAATTTTGAAGACTACCATGAAGTACTACATACGGGAAATTTAACTGATGTATGTAGATATTGAAAGTAAGGGGTGAATGGCAGAATTCCAGAAAATGTGCTTTATGTCTTGGCTCGCTCTATAGTGTTCTGGCATTAAATGCATTTGATAATCTAGGATGTCATAGTTGCTTAGATTTGCACTCTTAAATGTTATTTAGCTTTACAGAAGGTTACCCTGTTCTGTTAGAGAGAAAAAAATGTCTCTTTGAGTGGACCCTCTATGTACTATAAAGTTGGTAATTATCTACTACTTAGTTGGTACTGACAAGGTTTTAAGTGAAGTCTTAATTACTGCAGAAAACAAAGATTGACTGGTAAGAATCCAAATGATAGTAGCATGTAACACTTCTAAAATGAGAAAAAACATTTGGGTGTTTTTAATTTAGAAAAGCAAGGCGAAGGATGTGAAGAGGACATAACAGTGTCCTTTTGCTATTAATTGATGATAAAGAAGGCGTTTGAACACTTGTTTTCTATGTGGCTAAGGTAGGAGATGAAATAATTAATTGGCTTTACTAATAACAGAAGAAGTTTGCTTAAAAGATAAGAAAGCTTTTTGACTGCAAGTGTAGTTAAGAATTGGTAGTGAAGAAGACTTTGGAAAGCTTTTGAAATCCAGGTATGCTAATAATTCTCAAAATCTCCTTGAGGCCTAAGTAAGAGCTAAAATAAGCAATATTTTGAATCAAGTATTTAGTTGACTATTTGGAAAGTGTGTACGTGTTTCTTAAAATCAGGAAATAATTCAGGTGGGAAAGGATGTCAGTAAGCATCTAATCCAACCTTCTAGTCAAGGGAAATGCTGATCACTACCAATAGTCTGTAGATGAAGTAGATACAAAGCAATAAGGATCAAAAAAGGTAAATTACTCACTGTTATCAACATGCTTATTATGGTGTCATTTTAGCATTGCATCATCTGATTAGACATGGTGATGCTGCTTTACTCCTTTCAGGACTTAATTAATTTATGCATAAACATATAGTAGTATGTTTCATTTATGTAAGGAATGTGTAACTAAAAAAATGAAGTTCCAATGACAAAGATTTCATACATATTTTATTTGGCATCACTTCATACTGGTTTGTAAATACCAGACCATGGCACTTAAAAACTTTTCTAGGGGAAAAGAACGCAACTTTAATGGTTGTTGAATGAATTCATTAATGTCCATACCAAGGGCAGGGGCATTGGACTGGATGAGCTTTAAAGGTCCCTTACAAGCGAAACCATTTTATGATTAGAAAAGAAATATGAATTATGATAAGTTTTTCTGGGAAGCAAAAAAACTATGGCCATCTTAGATTTTGTCTGTAAAATCTGAGATCTCTGCCATTAGATGTCCCAGGAGGAATGTAACCTACATTGAACTACTTGTTCTTTTGAAGGCTGAAAGATTTTCAGAGAGAGAATCGCTTTGCATTTACTATCCTACATGTATCAGGTACTAGTCACCATTTCCTAATTTACCTCATCCAATTGTGGCCTCATTTAGGAAGTCCGTGAGTGCCAAGTCTTCACTAGTTATGAAATTGTGTCTTACACAGACAGATCACTTTGTCTGGAAACATGGAGGTAAAACTATGTATGTTTAATTTGGGGATTTTCTTAACTGTGTGTAATGTCTGGGTTAATGCTTGATCTCCTCTGTTCTGAGAATAATAAAGTGGCTCAACTATTACAAATATTACTATTAAAACAGGAAAAATCCCTCCCAAACCAGTATTCCTTCAAGGCCCAAAACTAGAAAGCTGCAAATTGCAGACCACTGGTTGTCTGCACAGCAATTTTTAGTAGGGGTTCCGAGAACTAAACAAATTTGAAGTGGCTTCTATCCTTTGAAGATGTTGATTTCTATAATATTTGAAGAATGTAACATTTATCTGTTCTTCAGTGGTGCCGAACTATGCATAGGGATCTATACGGACTATCCACTTTGCAGAAAAGTGGGTATCTTCCACTTCTGTATCTTGCCTTCTCCCTGCATCACGTAGAATTGACCTGTAAAGGTTCTGCATCACCTGTACATATTCTCAGATGAGAGATATGATGTACGTATGCTAATACTCAATTGTTTATTAAATAGTGGTATATTAGACTTATATGCATGTTTATAACAGTGGTTGGTTTTTAAAACTAACTTTTGTTAACTACATGTATTTTAAGCAGTGTCACTTTATAGAAATTGTGTGATGTTTCAACTATTGAGACATTTCTCACTGAGATTCTCTGTACAGCAGAAGTAACTTATAACACTGCATACAATAATGACATATGTTTTTTTGTTTTGATATGTATGTGTTGTGTGTTCTATTTATTTTGAAAATTACGCCTCACATTATTAATCCATTCGTCAGAAGGAAAATATATACATTCTGTATTAAGATAGCATCATTTTGATCTTTGACAGTAATCACTGACTTTTTACAGTGAAGTATGAAGTATCAGCCATATGTGATCACCGCCATTCAAAATTCTTTATTTTAATTTTCATACAGTATAGCAAAAACAAACAATATAATTTGGTTTTTAAATCAGATCAATAAAATGCCTTTTAAGTGATCTCTGAGGATATTGCACAGGTAGTGTATGTATATTTAGGTTGGGATTGATCTTGCTCTCAGTTCCTGTTCAGAAGTAATCCCCATATAGCTCTGTGTCTGGTTTTGAACCTCCTGGGAAAGGGAGGTCATTTTTCCTCTCTGCCTTGTTTCTTTAGTTACTCTTATACTGGCTGAGCATTGCTTATCGCTTGTATTTTTCATAGTAACCAAACTAAAGAACAGTCTTGAAGTTGAAACAAAGTACCACAAGTTTTCTACTTTAGCACACTATAACAACTAGCACTTAAGACTTTTCCCCCAGTATTCAGATACACAAGTCTGTGTGCAACTGTGGCAGCTGTTCAGTGTGTGTGCATACTTTATATGTGCCTATGTATGTGTATACTTTCAAATTGTTTTATGTAGAAAGTTTTTAGTGAAGAAAAACTTTCCTATGAGATGCCATTTTCTAATTCTAAAAATCTCTCTGATTATTTTAAAGACTAGCTCAAATTGGAGACTACAACAGAAACATATAACCTAATGTTTGCCAGTTGTCAGTGTTTTTACATGAACAACTGCAAATTTTAAAATAGCTGGGCTTAAAATAATCTTATATGTGTAAAGGATGCTGAAAGAAAAGTTTGTGCTTAAGAATTTTAAGTTAAAGCTTTTAAACAGTGAAGCCTATGAACTGTTGCTTGCCTTATTGAGAACTGATAAAAGGAAGAAATTGTGCAGGTTGAGCTTGTAGCTTCAACTGCATAAATACTGTTATCTTAGAGTTAGCTTCACACATAAGGAAATCACGTCACAAAGTGCCTATGTGCAACATGTATTATTAGCTTTTGTTGATTTAGCTCTGATTTTTGTTTTTATTTTTCTACACTTTGATGAGTCTGTTCACAGTTTTGCAATTATTCCTATATTGCTTAAATAACTACATTTTAAAAAGAGAAATGTGTACTGGTTTTGAGTACAGAACTCAAATATTGTTTAGAATTTAAAAAATATTTAATGTAATCTTTCTGGGTATTTTTAGCAAGGGGGTGAATGAAACACCCTGTCCCTTAGGGTTTTCTTTGAAAGAGCTGTACCAGTTCAACAGTTTGTTCTTGCCTTTCTTGGGTTCACAATTAGAAATATATATTCATTATCAAAATAGTCAGAAGTAATCTTATTCTTAGTGTTCTAACATTTCCCTTTTTCTCTCTAGCTGAAGGACACAAAGTCGGCAGATCAAAAAACAACATTGCTCCATTTTCTAGTAGAAGTCTGTGAAGAAAGCTATCAGGATGTCCTGAATTTTGTTGAGGATTTTCAGCATTTAGATAAAGCTAGTAAAGGTTTGTATAACAAACTAAAAGTTTTGATTCTGACAGCATTACAGCGTGTTTTGTGTGATGTGATGCATATTTTATGAGCTGATGCTTATTTTTTACTAAGATTATTTAAAAAAAAAATAGATATTAAAAGTCTATATCATAGATCAGCAATTTGAGCTGCTGCAAGTGGTCTTGGAAGTTATTTATTATTTGGTCTTCTGTTATTTACTACAGGATTTCCCATTGCATTTCTTTTAACATATTTTCCTGAATCATTGTCCAAAATGTATTTCTTTTAGAAGTTCTTTTCTATTACCAGATCTTAAACTATTTCCAAATTTCAATCTTCTATATGATAAGTGTAGTATGATTACTCAGTGTATTTTAATTCAGAAATGCAGAAAAGCCGTCATACCATCACTTCATTTTTTTTAATTATTATTTTAGTTTTATTTTCTGAATATGAATCAGAAAGTTTTGTCTTTCTTGTATGTGTGTTTTTCATGCAACAGTAGCACTGGAAGTCTGAAAAAATAAATTCCTCTTTTTGCTGCTTCATCATGCATCATATAATATGGTAAATCTCAGTATTCACAGGAACATTTTTTTGCAGTTAATATCTTAATTAAGAGTGCCTTCTCCATATTTTATCGCAGCTTAAGTAATTTAAACTGACTAAGCACTGAGTTAGAAACTGATGCCATCTTAGCACTGTCCTACTCTTGCAGTAAAAGAAGATTGGATGGCCTGTCTCAGTTAATTTTTTATTTTATGTCAGTTTGGAGAATGTCACTGTTTATCTGTATTGCTTTATACAGTGTCACTTTTATGCCTCAGTCAGTCTTCCTGCCACAAACTACAGCTTTGCAAAACCTGCTTCTGACAGAGAACTTGAGACAGTGGTCACTCACATTGCGTTCGCTATCTGATGTCATGAGTTTTAAAGTTTCAAATTTGGTGCATAACCACTTAGAAGGTCAAGTATTTTTAAATAGCTGTCAAATGCTTCAAGCTGTTTATCTCAGTGTTTGTACTGGTAGTAGAAGGAGTTTCTGTTGTACGTAAAATTAGTATTTTATACATTATTTTCAGTGTCACCTGGCCATTGAAGATGATTAGTAGTATTAGTGTATTGTTGGGTGTATTGTGGTTGAATTTTTTATATCAGTCAGAAACCCCAAGATGTTCCTTATTATAAAAGCCCTTATTTTCAGTGTAGGCAATCCATTTTACATGAAGCTGCTGAGATGTAAACCACTGACCATTTGAAGAGTACCCAATAAAATTATCAGTTAGTCCAGGTTTTCTGTTCCTTTTTACATATATGCTATTGACCAGATGAATTTTTGATCTCACTCAGTACATTGTGGAATAGAAATCAACAACCATGTTTTCAAGGTTTCAATGACCATGTTTTCAAGGTTATGTATCAAATTTACTTCAGTGTACTGTGAGATGCATTTTACATTTCAGTTTTACTGTATGAAAAATGCAGAGGCGTAGGTTGTCCTCAACAGATTACCATGTCAGTGTGTGTGTTTATACTTGTTTTCCTGCCTGCAAAATTCCATTTTATTTTGAAAGATCCCTCCTGCACTGGAATTTCGGAAAATTTAGCAGATTCCAAAGACTACAGCTCATGTGGGATTATTTTAAAAAACTTTGTAGTAATTTTGCATAAGTTTGTTTTTACAAGGCAAGTTGATTTAATATGTATCAGCTTTTGCAGAGTAAAATTTTAATGAAGTCACTATTATTGCTTGAGCTTACTGAAAGTTCAATTCAAAAACATTGTGAAGCTGTGGTTGTGATCAACCATATTCAACAGAATGGACTTACTTGGTCTGATGTAGCTAATGAATATGCTCAGAAGGACTAATAAGTTGACCAAGAATGGTTTGCAGTGAGGCTTCCACTGTGAACCGGGAAACACAGGAGATGTGACAAGGCATCATTATGAATGCTACAGAGAGAGATAGAAAGAAAGACATCAAAAATCTTTTATCTTGATGGTCATGGAGGCAAATATGCTTATTCCAGAAGATATACTGATTGTGTTTCAGCAGGATTTGGGTACTGAGGGCCTAGAGCATTCTCCTTTTTTCTACCTTTTTTTCAAAGGTTAGGGCCTTGTAGAGGTGATGGAATGCCATTCCCATCATGGTTTCACTGAACTTTGGGCTCTGAAGTAATTTTTAAAAGTAATTCACAAGAATAAACCAGTTAAGTTCGATAAGAATATTTTTTTCTCCTGTACCTTTGTTGAAAGCTATTTTTTTTTTCAGTTGAGCTGTTTTTTATTTCCTGTCTGCATATTCATTTCTTCAGATGTGATAATTCTGCATTTTGTATGTGGCATAAAAGTATTTTTTGCTGTTTCATTTGAAATTATAGGAATAATTAATGTGGCAGAAAGATACGTAAATGCGATTTGAACGGTATGAACAGACAACTTTATGTTGAACACACTGTATAGAAATGGGACTATACTATGCATTTATTGGATTTGACTTGATCATTAACAAGTGATTGTTGAGTCTTTCACAAGTTTCTTAAAAAGATTCCTTTTTGGAATTCTTCCTTGACAGGACTGTCCTTGTATCAGCCAGCCCATTTTTGTGTCCTTTTAATTTTTTGCTTATTCTTAAGTATTTGCTTATTCTTAAAAATTCTTTTTCTAGTTATTTTTGATTCAAAATGGTGAACATTAGAACACTATAATGTTTAGCAACTCATTTTCTTTTTATCCTTTTTTAGAAGAAGTATTTCTATTCCTTTCATCTCATTAAGTATTGTCCAGTAGTTGTCATACAGTAAACTGTTAACATAGTTTGGAAGACTTTAAGAGCAGTGACAAGGTCTGTTAATTGTGAACATATATTTTTTAGTATTTTGTAAGTGATAAAACATTCAGAATATGAAAATAATGATTGCAGTAGAAAAAATAATATCCTAATTTTAAAAAATATAACTTGGAGAGGGAAGCAGCAAGAGACATGTGACCTATGCAATTGTAGTTTACTTCAGAGTATTTAATTTGCCCCCTATTATGTGCTGAAGTTTTAGTTTCTACTTTTGTAATACTAACAGTAGGCTTAACTCACTGTTACAGTACATGAATTAAAGATACCTTTTTGCTTTGAAGTATAATACATCCTGTTTTTTAAGTACATTTAGATCAGCAGGAGGAACTTTCATTGCAGCTAATGAGCTTACTGATATGACAGTTCCTGAAAATTCGTATAATTAAAGCTGTCTCTTCTTTTAAACATAATGACTTTCCTGCTTTTTTATTAGTATTCTAGAGAAGAAATATTTTGGTAATTTAATACACTTTACTAATTTCTTATTTTATGGTACTGTAAAGAATTATATTGTGTTGAATACAGGCTGCTGTTTTATTGATTGACTCTAATTTGCACAGACCTTACAGGTACCAGTGTATAAAGCCTTTCGTATTTTAATAACAGTACAAAACTACAGCTTTTCCTTCCTCTAAAAGTCATTAGCTCATTGTCACTTTACAAGTAACTTATTATTTTTCTCATTTTTGAATTTTTTTTTAACCCAGAAGCCAAACTGTGAATCTGAAGCTTAATCTATATTCATTAAAAAACAGAACACCCTCACTAATATTTAAAACCATTAAGACAGCAGAGAGAACACTATTAATATGTATGCTATAAGAAATCTGTATGTCATAAGGAAAGGAGTATTTTCCTATTGCAGAATTTCTGAAAGTCTATGGCAAATTTTGTAAAGGAACGTACTTGTCTGGGGAGCAGTTGTACCTATTGTGATTTCTAGATTTACTGTAATATTCAGTAAAGATTTACTTTCACTAGGAGTAGAAAGTCCTAGTGAAATAAGGTGATAAGACAAAAGTAAAAGCTGTTGTTAGAAGTGAGTTTGAATATCGCAGGAAGAAGACTAAAGTGCTGGTTTGGTAATAAAGAAGAAAAAAATTCTATTAATTACATTGCTACAATTACAAATTGATTTAGAAATGTAAGCAATCTGCCTAACAATCAAAAGAGTAAGGCTACAGAATTCCCTCCTTGAGCCATATTATCCTTGTGGAAAAAAATACAATTATATGTTCCCGCATGACGTCCTTGTCTCTAAATTGGAGAGATATCAATTTGATGGATGGACCACTCGGTGGATAAAGAACTGGCTGGATGGCCACACGCAAGGAGTTGTGGTCAATGGCTCAATGTCTAGCTGCAGACCAGTAATGAGTGGTGTCCCTCAGGGATCGGTGTTGGGACCGGTCTTGTTTAACATCTTTGTTGCTGACATGGACAGTGGGATTGAGTGCGCCCTCAGCAAGTTTGCCGATGACACCAAGCTGTGTGGTTCAGTCGATACGCTGGAGGGAAGGAATGCCATCCAGAGGGACCTTGACACACTTGTGAGGTGGGCTGATGCCAGCCTCAGGAAGTTTAACCGTGCCAAGTGCAAGGTCCTACACCTGGGTGGGAGCAATCCCAGGCACAGCTACCGGTTGGGCAGAGAAGAGATTCAGAGCAGCCCTGCAGAGAAGGACTTGGGGGTGTTGGTCGATGAGAAAATGAACATGCGCCGGCTTGAGTGTGCGTTCGTAGCCCAGAAAGCCAACAGTATCCTGGGCTGCATCAAAAGGAGCGTGACCAGCAGGTCAAAGGAGGTGATCCTGCTCCTCTACTCTGCTCTTGTGAGACCTCACCTGGAGTATTGTGTGCAGTTTGGTGTCCTCAACATCAAAAGGACATGGAACTGTTGGAACAAGTCCAGAGGAGGGCCACGAGGATGATCAGGGGACTGGAACTTGAGCACCTCCTGTATGAAGACAGGCTGAGGAATTTGGGTCTGTTCAGCCTGGAGAAGAGAAGGCTGTGTGGAGACCTCATAGCAGCCTTCCAGTATCTGAAGGGGGCCTACAAGGATGCTGGGGAGGGACTTTTCATTAGGGACTGTAATGACAGGACAAGGGGTAATGGGTTCAAACTTAAGCAGCAGAAGTTTAGATTGGATATAAG